ATAATTATATATAGTTGCTTACGTCGATATACGTTGTGCATGACTTTCAATTCCAGGGCATTTGCTGTCTCTACCTCAGTTACATGGATAACATCTTCACTATTGCTGCTCATGGCTAGTAACTGATTTCTGTCGATGTTATTTCCAATACCGACGGGAATGATTCTTAATCCTGAGGCCCCTAGTGTGTACGACAAGGATCTTAAAGTCGCAGCACTGATCGATGCACTCTTGTCAGTCATCAGAACAACGTCTTTTTCAGCACTTCTTTGAACGCTTGGATCATTGAAGCTACTTTGACACCTGTTCAGTGCAGCGTCTGTTGCAATGGTCCCAGAACCCCCTGGATAAGTGAGACTATCTATTGCATTTTTGAGATCTGAAGACGAAAGCGATCCAGTTGAGGTGAACGAACGTACCACGGACGCTGAGGCTGAACCAAGTCCATATGTAACAATGCTGTAGTGGATGGTTCTCATCCCGTATTTTAGAACGATTGCTCCCATGGTATCTTTCATCAGTTTAAAAAGTGCTGCAGAATTAGTGGAACCAGCACCGATAGCAAATGTGATGTCGAATTCTGGAAAATGAAAACAGAAAGGTATTGGATTATCATAATAACATTTTTGAACACTTTTTATGAGATTGTCAACTTTGTAGCTAGTGGGTCGTGACAAACAAAAGTTCTTGAACAGGAAAGTGCCGGCATTTAGGTGAGATGACTGTTATGGAAGTAAAGAATTTGTTTTCAGTGGGGTTGTCTAATATATGAAGAGTACATATTGTAAATATCAAGTACGATTTCAGTGCTCCTCCTTAATCCATACCTTTAAAGCATCTTACAGCAATACCAAAGCAAAGATGACGAAAGCTTCCTGTCCATGGAAACAGCATGACGTAATACCTATTTAGAGTTATCCACTCAAGCTGTTGTACTGGAATCTGTCTTCCAATGCCAATACCGATCACAAGTGCTTCGATATCTCTGAGGTTTTTTGCAGCAAGTTCCAATTCATTCTGAGACTGTGCTGAACCCGTGTCCATCATTACAACAACAATCTTCCTTGCGTTTGGTCGTGAACCTGGTCCTTGTAACATTGCTTTTGCATTTCCAAGCGCAGCTTTCAGATCAGATGAACCAGCGATGTTGTTGGAACCATCGATTGACGTCTTCAAAGTAGCTTTATCCATACTGGCAGTAGTCTGGAAGTTAAAGACATCGTTGACGGTAATACCAAAGACGATCAGGCCGTACCTGATATACGTCTTACCATATTGCGTCACAAATTCTTTAGCTGTGTTTTTCATGAAGGTAAAAGCTGCAGTTGCGTCTGCTAAAATGGTAGAAGTTGAACTGAACAGAAACACAAGATCGATATCGGGAATACCTGAAAATATTTGAATTGTTAGCAGATCAATGATAAAATGATCTAGAGCCTTGTGTAAGATTTAAAAACGTACTCGGGCAGCTATCCTGTAACAAGGATTTTTATAACCTTTTTTACTTAAAAACATATGTTTCAAACTTAAGCCGAAAAAAAACACCCCAACCTCATATAAATCATCTATAATAAATACATGTCTAAAAGCTGGTCTTTTTTTCAATTTGTACATAATTTTGTACATGATGAGTTTTTGTGTTTATATCTAAAACTCTTTTGGTAGAATTCCTGTTTTACTGCGCATGATTAGAAAGAACTGACATCAAGTACGAATGTTAAGGTAGAAAAATTCCTTCACAAACGTCGAGGTTTGAAGTAAAAGAGGTGCTCCAATTGCAAATAGTTTCTATTTCATCGAAAATTTATATAATGATTTAGTTTGAGAAAAAGAAAGTAAACAAATAAAACCAGGAAAAAGCATGATTTGGGGGTTTAAATATTTAAGTGAATTAATGGATTACCTTTAACACATCCATTCACGTCAATTCTTAAATTGTGTGAACCAGGCTTTACTCCTGGATCTGGTTCAATTGGAACAAATCTGAAGTAACGTGCCGTTACGACGCTTCCAAGATTAACCACGTTTATTGCCTGACTTGGTGCAGGTGGGGGGTAATTCCCATAGTATGGCTGTGAAAATAAACATGATAGGGCTGTAAGTGCATTAGTACTTTCATATTCAAACTGAACCCTCATTATTTTCTTGATCCATAAGGCCTAGTTAGCAAATTACATGACACAAGTAAGACGAAGATGCTTACATTGCAGGATGCAGGTGCTAGTCGTTTCCTTCTACAGTCGTATGTTATTCCATCGTAACTGTACTGAATTGCCATCTGATTTGTTTGTTCTACTGTTGCAGGGTCTCCTGACCACACCACCTGACTAACACTGTAGTTTGCTCCTATAAAAAAATACGAACAATTTATCAGAATTACGTTTGGCATGATCCTCATTGAAATTTAATTACCTTTTTATCGCATTGTTAAAAATCCTAATAAAACAAAGGTTAAAAATCGTTTTTCTTAAATCTTTTCAACCTCCAGTCGGAGTAGTTTTTATTTATTTATTCTTTTTCTAAGTAGCTATACATGGTTCCAAGAGAATATGGAATTAATGTCTCTTGATGTCACGCATAATGAACTTTATACCAGA